CCCCACTCACATCCACGTAGTTGCTGGCCCACACGTCGTAGGGGACGATGAACTTGGCGGCGAATTCCGCCATGAGACACGTCGTCCGGTTTTCCCGCACCACGAAAATGTCCTTTTCGGGGTTAGGGGAGAGCCCGGAGAGATTTTCAACTTCTTGCTCGGCAGCCAGGCGAGCCGCGGCGTCTGCGGGCAGAGAGGCGCTGAGCGGCGGCCCTTGGATTCTGGTCCCCAATTCTCAGCCTTTGCATCTCTTTGTATTAGTATTTCGCATTACTGTCATTAAAATCAAAAGACCTGACAATTTCTGCAGGGTCCTTTCACCAATTTAAGTGTTCTCCTCACACCCTCTCGATCCAGCTCTCTTAAGCTGAAAAATGTACATACGTTTTTCCCCTATTAAAATAAATTAAATTTCTCAAGCTCCAAATGAAAAAAATATTCTGCTGCTTCTGTATTGAAAAGGGTAAATATATCTATTTATGTATCTTTTTATATATGTATGTGTGTATATATATATATATGTATGTGAGGGTTGGAAGCAGTGTCTTAAAAAGAAAAAAAGATATTCTAGAATATGAGTTGAAGCATTCAAAAAAATAAAACCAATTCAATCACTCCCTACAAGCTTTTTAATCTATCCCAGACAGGACAGTGTCAGGACTAATGACAAAACCTTTCCCCTCTTTCTTTGTGGTAAAAGGGCCCTGACCCTCCTGCGTCTCGGCAATTCTTCTGCTCTACCAGGTCTCTTTCTCTATTCTAAAATATTTTAAAGTGTTCTGTACCTTGTTCATAATTAATAGGAATTTTACCTAATGAGAAATTAATGAACCAAAAAGGAGAAGGCTAATTACTGTAATTTAAGATTGGCAGTGAATCTCAGACCCCACAAAGGATCATGTTTTGCCATGGATGTGCCGAGGACACGCTGGTCCGCGGGGCTGGTGGGGACATGCCGCTGGGAGAAGTGGCAGAGCCCTGTGTGAAGCTTCATTGATAAATGACCTCTCAGGCATTTCTGACCATCCTCTCCAGGTGCTCTTTGCTATTTAACTTCCAGTGCAATTCAACAAAAAGAAGTATCATTGAATAACAAGCGCAACAACAAAAAAGAGAAAGCTTGACAAAGAGAGAAATCATGCTTTCCTAAGAAGGAAGAATTCCCCACATGTTTAAAGATTGCTGAACCAACTGGAGTCTCCTTGTGTCCTGGAAAAAAACAAAACAAAACAAACCCAACAACAACACAGGACAAAATCAACCCAAACCAAATTTACTGCCCAATACGAAAGAGCATATAATGAAAAAGGCAGGTGGTCCCCCTTTGGCAACACACCCTGAGTTTGGTTGTTCAAACTGTGAGCTCTCGGACTTGACAAGTTTGGTATCACAGGGACACGGCAGCTAAAACTGAGTCCAGACATGCATATTTTAAATACGCCCTTCTCGGCCTCCAAGGTCTGCCCAGCCAAAACCCGAGTGCAGAAAGTCTGGGTCCACAGCAGGAGGGAGGGGATGAAGATGTGCCAACAAAAAATGAGAGAAAACTATTACATTCTACCTTTTTCTCCCTGTAACCTACACAAAATATGGTACTACTTCGAGAGAAAAGAAAAAAAAACAATTATTTGTGCCTACGGATAAAACCTACTCCGTAGTACGCTGGCCTTGCCGTGAGTAATGCAGCCACGCAGAGCTCTGCCAGAGCCAGTGTACATAATAGCATGTATTTACTACATCAGTTAGAGCAATGTGAGTCACGAGCCTAAGTGCTAGGCTCCATAGTCAGAGCTGGTTTTTTTATTGTATTCTAAAATATTTCCCACACGCAAAATAATAAAGCCCCACATTTTTAATGCTAGGCTTGAAAATAACACCACCATTTTCTAACTCATTATTAAAAGATTCAGCTATTACAAATTTTATTTGCATCTTGCTACAATAATAGAGTTAACTAATTTGCCAAGATGGCTCTACAAGAAGGGGACTAGTCTTGAAGCCCTAATTCAGGTAAGCATGTTTACACTCCCTCATTCAACTTTTTGGAAAAGGCGGGGGGAAGTCAGGGAGGAGGAGCACCATGGGTTCCTCAGGATAAAGGCAGGCAAGATCTCCAGGAATTCTGCCCCATGGCAGTACTGCTGCTGACTACAGTGTAACTCTTTGATATGAACTGCATGTGCTAACATACATTTTCTTTTATCCACAATTAACATTAAAGAGGAGGAACAGCATTCCATGTGTTTGGCACACAAGGCACCTCACTGAAGTCCACGCTACACTTCCTTCACCCTTGCAATGAGCATTAATCAAACTGAAGTCAGTAACGTGTATGGCAACCGCTTCCTCCCGCTGCAGCCCCGAGCTTTCCTCAGTGTGCAGTGGCCCTAAAAAGCCCCTGGAGCTGCACTGAAGCACCTTCCGTGCTGCAGAGACACCTAAGGCTTGCAGGGCTCCCCAGGGACCAGGCAGTTCTGAGGCTTGCTGGCAACCTAGCTAGGCAAGCCCTTGCAGAAGCCACTGTACATGCACTGATAGCCCATGTTTTGACCAAACAACAGCTGGGCTGAATTTGTAAAGGCTTATGGGGGACCACAGAGGTAGGGAATGGGTTTGGAATGACCGCAGGGAGCACTGACAACTCACTGGAGGGAGGGAAAGGTGCTCTGATAAAGCAGGATCCAAATTCCCTCAGTACATTGCAAAACCCCCAAGGCCATGGCGGCAGCAGCATCTCGGGGATGCAGGATATGCCTTCACCCTGCATCTTACCTTCACTGAAGACAAAATCCGCGGTGATGTCGAAGGGCTGGACACGCACTTCCGACAGCAAGAGCTGCACAGACTTCTGGTGGTCGCTGGAGACGAGGGAGATGGTCTGCTGTGCCTGGCACTCGTAGGACTTCCCAGCTGGAGTGACCAGGGCAGACAGCCGGTGCGAGCTGGCCGTGTGCTTCCCGACTGGCCAAGGGGTAGAAACACCAGAGGTCAGGTCCCGTCTCTGGGGGACTGACGTGACTTTATTAACTAAGCTAATGAACTGAACACAAGGGTACGCAGGCGGTGTGCAATGCGGCGGCCGCACGCTCCACTGCTCTTAAAGCAGCATTTTCTCCTGGGGTGGGACCATGCTTTCAGCATGGCACCCCCACATCGCCAGGGCGGTCTCTGCACTGGGATTGCCTGCCCGCAAGCAGGAATGGATGCCTGCGGCGTGTGGTCCTGCTGCCACAAAGGGGAGAGCTGGCTCTGCCGCTGACAGCTACGCTCATGTCACAGGACCTGAAGTCCATAAAGTCAGAGGAATGGTTTCTATTGACGTGCATGCAGGTTTCAGCCTCAGACTGCACTCGTACTCCCTACAGCAATTCCTGCGGCAGCGCTTGGGCTCTGAATTCAGGTGTGAAAGAGCAACACAATTTGAGGACCTCACTACAAAACAAAACAGGCCGTAACAGTTTTCCTGAAAATACGGTATGACCATTTCACGCAAATATAGATTATAAGAAAATATTTTCCCATTGCATCATGCCCGTTTTAAAAATGAAGGCCGAATGCGGCTCAGCGAGATGGAATGAGGATGCCTTCCACCTCTCGCTCTTCCGCAGCCCTTTGTTCCCCACTAGCAGCACAGAAAGGTAATCAGCACTTTGCATTTGTGGAGGGTGATGAGGCATGGCCATCACTGTGTTTTGGGGACACACACAGTAGAAACACCAGTGGGGAAAAATAGCTCCACATCCAGTGTGTCTTATGCCACAAACTCTTAACGCACCATTCACTGGAGTTTGAAAATCTTGCAGAAGAACAACTTGCAAACAACAGCATTTCAATTTTCAATACAAGACAACTGATTTCTGGGCAGAAACAAGATAAAAAGAAAACAAAAACCTAAAGAAAGGAAACCCAGTGAGAAAACTGGAGGCTGTTGGGTGTGGAGGCTTGCAGGGGTATAGATACTGATGTCGATCTCATCCCTGTCTTGGGAAACCACTGATTTCCCACCCATTCAACCATCATTAGAACTGAGGAGATAATTAACCTTAAAAAACATCTTCTGCTGGAAAGGGGACAAATTTTTCCAGACCAGGGAGACCATTGCCCCACTGCCCACCCCCTTGGGCCCCGGGTCCCGCAGCAAACGGGCTCCCGCTCATGCCGCAACTGCGGTGATTAAAAACAAGAACCAAGAATAAGAAGCGGGGGAGGAAGAGGAATTAATAAATACAGGGTTTAAAACTGCCACCTGGTCCCGGCTTTGTCGGGAGGGTCTGGGATTTCTTTTTTCCCTATTAAACTGCATTTAGGCGAGCACCCGCGGGGCGTCTGTCCCCCTCCGTCCCCCCCACCGGCTCCACACTCTCCAACCCCCAGGGATGTGCTTTAAATCCCGTCCCCCCGGGGCGCTTACGGCTGACGGCGCCCTTGAAGTAGGTGCGCTCGGTGGTGTCGTAGGTGAACTGGATCCGGCTGAGCCTCCAGAACGCCTCCAGCCCCCGGGACGTGTTGTGTCCCTCCTGCCGAGACAGAGCCGGTCAGCACCCCCGCAATACCGCCCTGCACACCCACCCACCACCCCCCAGCTCCCGGGCGTGCGGGGGGAGCCCCGTACCTTCAGGAAGAAGAGTTTGAGGGTGTACGCTTGCTCCAGCCAGGAGATCTCCAGCTCCGACTCGTTGGTGCCGCACTTGCCCTTCACCTCGGCGCCCCGCGGCAGCGGGATATCGGCTTGCTCCGTGATCAGCTGGAAGTGGGGAGCGGGGCTCAGGGGGGGTGGCCCCGGAGCACCTCCGGGAGCCCCCAGTCCCCCCTATAGCCCCGGCAGAATATCCTCGGAGGGGATAAAGGACT